TGAAAATTTAAAATTATTTGCATGACGTCGTAAAACAGCTCCGTCGGTACCTTGGGTTATACATCTTGACAGTAGGGATGTTCGATACGATCCTATATTTAGAAGCATCAACACATTTCACGAGTATCGTCATCTTTCGATCCGGACTGTGTCAGAAAGAGTGACTGCTATTTGGCTGCGACATTACCCTGACGAATCAGACATACCTTTCATCAATTTCAAAGAAATTGTACAAAATCTTCAAATTTGTGAAGTTAGCTAGTTTTACTTCATACGTTCATACGTGATATTCATCCCGACCACTGCATCCCCACGACTAGGCGACCTGTATGTTAAATTTGTATTGATAAGGCTGCCAAATTTAACAGCTAGAAAATCGACCTATTATTTGCCGCATTCCCATTCGCTGAGGGGGATAAAGGATTGCTAAATGTAAACCTACAACATATATCAAAATACATGAAAGTTGTCCTGTTTTTTCTTCGAATTTTCACGATTTTATTCAATATTTCAATAGAAATCACTAATATTCAGAGACCTTTGACAGCTCCTGTCAAATTGCATTTCGATAAGGTATTCTCCCATTGGTCCATAATATTAATGTTGGTGAAATCGGCCCTAACAGTGGTGTTTGAGGTATTTTCCTCAAAATAATGTACCAACTTAAGCGTGTTTTAGGCTCCTTCTCTGAATGACATAAGTACATGAACGTATTCTGTATACTTCCTGATTCAGTTGGAAAAAAGTTGCCTGAATTTTGGGTAACCCTTTATAACAGGCCTCATTTACATCGATTACCATATGGTGGATATTCCATAGTACATGGGATCCATGACTAAGACATAAACGCTTGCGATGACGGGTACTTCCAGCTGTAGTAAGCAGTAAACTTCAACGGGTGTTTTGATAAGAAGTTTTTCGTCTTGAAAAATTTCTCAATCAACTTCCCTTTCCGCTAGCGTTATTCACAGTATTCTGTCATTCTGAGTTAAGATGTTTTCATTTTGCGCAGTTTCCGCATCTAATGACAATGCCTTCTTCCGTCCTTTGTTGGACTTGAGAACATATGATGTCATACAGAAAAGTTGCGTGTTTCTTTGAAAACGAAAATGCTGCCCTAATCTTCCTACCTAGTGAATTGTTACACTTAGGTAGGAAAAGTTACCCCAATAAAGATAATGACTTTACGCCTATGCCGAGTCCTGCAGTCTTACGACCAACTCGCGGCGCCCCACGCAGGCAGAGGCCAGGTCGTTTTCGTAAAGGAAATAGTCCCTTTAATTAAAATATTTCCACGTTTCTTCACCTGCCATTGTTAGTGCGACACCGTATTTCACCTCCCTGAAGAACATTCTCGTCACGTGCACACTTTGTTTGTGTCAAAGACGTTCGAGGAGTCCTGCATGACTAATACACTTCAGACGCTTCTAATTAAGAATACAGTTTTCTATAGTAGGTAAAAACATAGAAAAATTAAATATACGTAAAGCAAGAGATGACATCGATTCAAAAGATTTAATCATTATTATGTTCCAAAACTCTCTCGAATCCACACATAAGTCCTGAAATCTCGAATCAACCAAGTTTATATCTCTACAAAACAGCACGCTCGAGTGTACTGTTGTATGTTCCCATTATTATCAGCTTTGACACTGTATCATCATTGTACTACTACTCATTATACGTCGATTAATTTATAGATGGCGAAAGTGAAAATCTTCGTTCATTCATATTGCTTTCTGTGGTCGAAAATGACAAGTATTGCACTATTTCAAATATTAACGCAACGTTGGGGTTTTTCTTTTCAGAAACAACTACCCTTGAAATAACAAAGGTAATGTGTAGTGAAACGAGGGCAACCAAGTAAAAAAAATAAAGGAAAAAGTACTCACTCTCCAGTTGACGAGAAGGGCTAAGTACGTCTCTGCCCGAAATCATACCGCTCCAACAGAAAATGAAATCAGCTGATGCGCTACCGAGCAGACGCAGGCAAACAAGGAAGGCAAAATGTTGCGTAAAAAGTCTAGGTATTGCATCCCGTCCAATCGATTTGGGAGAATATATGGTCCAATGAGCATACCGTTCACCATGCCAGCCCAAACAATCACCGAAAATGTTTGTTGAAAATGTGCCTGACGGACAGCGTGCGGATTTTCTACTGACCAAACATGAGTGTTGCGAAAGTTATTCACCCCATTACGCGTGAACGTAGATTCGTCTGTCACCAATATGCACTTCAAAAAGTCCGGACTATTGTCATGTTGATGCAACAACCACTCACAAAACCGCACTCTTGCTGGAAAATCGTCAGGTTGAAGGGCTTGTACACGTTGCACGTGAAAAGGATACAGCCCTTCTTCACGCAGCGTTTGCCACACTTTAGTTTTTGATACTTGCACTTCTCTAGCCACGTCTCTAGTGCTTGTTGAGGGATTCTCGTCTACGCGATTACCTCTACACGCGTGACCGTAACCGTCGGTTGAAGGTTGCATACTGACCTGACACACTGACCCCGACCCAGTTCTGTCGTCGGGTTGAGCTAGTGTCCTAGTACCACTCAGGGATGTCGCGGGTCGCGGCTACAGGACGGTATTCAGATATTTTTGATGTTGCAGAGCCCTTTATCTCGGTTCGCTTAAGACATTGGTGTATATGGTACTAAGAAAAATTGCTTATGTTTTCAAGATCTACGCGTCGTGTAAAGGAAAACCCCAACTTTGCGGACACCCTGTATATCTTGAATGCTGTCAACTTATAGTTCTAGAGAAATTTTTTTGTTGAGTGTATCCTAGAAAATCAAAGGACATAAAACATCTTTCGATGTTGATATATCGTGGGGAGATATGGAAAATGATTGTCTAACGAATCTGACTGTTTTGAGATCAGGCATCACGAATTTTTTTCCAAATTTCTAAAACTCACATGGTCCAGTAGTCGTCCTGCGATTAATTCACACCCTCCAAATCTTATTCCATGCAATATCTTTTGTGTATACTGGGGAATTCAGAAAAATGCTATCGAAGCAAGTTGTATTCTTTATATTTTTAGTGAAGCCTAAATATATTTATACAGGCTGAGCAATATATAACTCATTGATTTAAATTGCGTTCCATTTCTGATACACGCATTTCAGTAGGTGGCGTCTTAAAGCACATGTGCTCAATTCATCATCGAACGCTACACAATCCCATAACGCGTCCGTATTGTTGAGACGTTTTACTTAAATAATGAGTCGATTCGGAAGCTACGACAAGATTTCGGTCAAAATAATGTGCCCAGTGTCAACACCATTCATCAGTTGGCGTGCAAAATTTGAACAAACAGGTGAAGTTAAAGACTTGAGAAGGTCGGGCCGTGTTCGAACTGTTCGTACGGAGAATGTCGAGAGAGTTCGTGAAAGTGTAGTGCAGCGCCCGGAGACGTCTACCAGACATCGTTCTCAAGCAGTGGGTATTCATAGTACGTCATTATGCACTATTTTAAAAAAAAACTTGCATTTGCAGCCATACAAAATTGAGTTAACCCAATAACTACAGCCTTGCGACCATTAAAGTCGTCGACAATACAATCATGCAATATTGCTGCTTAATACCCAAAATAACGATTTTTACCGATAAAGCGCACTTCGATAAAAACGGATTTGTAATTAAGCAGAATTGTCATATCTGGGCATTAGAGAACCCTCGTGTCATCCATCAACGACCACTACATCCTCATCGATTTGGTGCAAAATTTTCTGGCTCCTCAAGTCCAACAATTTAACCTGCAAAAGTATGTGGTTCCAGCAGGATGGAGCAACAGCTAGGGAAACAATGAATCTTTTGCGAACAATATTTCTGGGACGTTTAATCTCTCGATTTGGTGATGTCAACTGGCCACCAAGGTCACCGGATTTAACGGCTCCTGTCTCTTTTTATGAGGATTATTGAAAATTTGGGCTTACTCGAACAAACTAAATACTGTAGAGCAGATGAAGAAGAATATCACGGAAGTGATTGACGGGATTCCTTCCGAAACCTACTAAAAAGTGATGGAAAATGTAATCAAGGGGGCCCAGGTTTTCGGGGCTTCTGAAAGCGGACATGGAACGACTCTCTGGCGGGGATGCTTGACTCAAGTACTCCTTTCTGGAAAGTGGCGAAGTCGCCTAGAAACGGAGATCGAGAACAACTCCCGCACATTCAAAAAAAGTTTCTTAAATATCTAGCTTTTAAGTGCGATATAGTCTACCCTCAACATGGGTCGGACTATCAACTTCTGTTAGACAGATTTAACATGACGTCTTTGAATGTCAGAAGGAAGCACAGTTTTGTAATTTTTTTGTTTAAACTCTTGCATGGAACTACAGTTTCTTCGGAATTGTTATCACAACTACAGTTTTTAAACGCCAAGATCCGTTTCAAGATGTAATGTTACTTTTGTTTGCAGTCGTGCCAACACAAATTTGATTTTGAAATCACCTGAAAGTGTTATATGTTTGAATTATAATCAAAAGATCAAACGAACTTACCTGTGATGTTCGATCTTGATTATATAAAGGCCCCGTCGAAGAAAAATAGTAATACGTACGTAGTATCTCCATCTCTAGCGAATCGGTCATACATTTCAAAGCAATCATAACCCCTCCCGCCGCTCCCCGCTGCCGTCATCGTACTCAGTCCATTTTAAAGCTGATGAATTGTTGCAATTATATTTTTGGGGAATGGGATGGGTTGGGACCCTATTTTTCTTCGACGGGGCCTTTATATAATCAAGATCGAACATCACAGGTAAGTTCGTTTGATCTTTTGATTATATTCGGCCCCGTCTCGAAAAATAGTAATACGTAGATATTTAGAGTTTATTGCAACAATTAGAGACTGCATACATTGCGAATTTTCTATTCCAAACAGAAAATGAACTACCTATATAATATTACATATTACCTATGGTAGGTATGTCATTTATGTTCACAATGTCATATTACATAAGTAATATAAGTAACAATAATAATAGTAATAGTAATAATGGTGTTAGTTAATAGTAAGTAAGTAATATATGTAATTATAACCCTGTAAGTAACATCATCTTTCAGAAAAAAAATTTAATATCTAACATGTAAGTACAGCTTCTGCAAATGTTTGATCTGACAATAGTGGCCTATTATATACTTGAGCAAACATCCTAGAGTCTCTAGACCAACCCGCGGAAAGACGAATTGAGTCCATATTTAGCCCTTTTCTTTTTGCAGCAGACGTCGCCGCATGCCTGGTACTGTGCGCAGAAAATTTGTGTACGTCAATGCCACTTTCTTCTAAAATAATCTTAATCCAGCGACTTAAGGTCTGCGTAGATGCTTTACGGTAAGGCATTTTGCTGGTTAGAATTAAACTTGTTTCAGAACCCCTTAGATTTTCTGTTTTTTCTAGATAGGTAAGGATTACCCTAGCCACACAAACTTCCGGATCCGAGTTTAAAAAAGGAAGGTGGAAAAATGGCTGGGATCGATCTTTACCAGAGGTCTTAATTCTTTGGGGCACCGCTATATTTATTTCGATCTCTGATTTATAAATGTGCGTGATTTCTATAAGGGCTAAAGTTTGAAGACGTTGACCTGTGGCCAATGCTAAAAGGGTTACAAGTTTTTGGTTCAATTTCCTCAAAGTGATATCTTTGTTTTTCCATTCCCTTAGAAAATTTAAAACTACTGCTGGATCCCAAGTATTTTGATATTTCGGTAAACTTGATCTAAGCATATAGACTCCTTTGAAAAATTTCTGAATCCTGTAATTCTGTGCCAACTCTCGCCCCGCTACTTGAGCTATAGCAGACCGATAAGTATTTAAAGAACTATAAGATGCTCCTTTCTTAAAATGATAGGTTAGAAACTCTAAGACGGTTACTACTGAAACCGAATAGGGATCTGCTTTCTTGGTAGAGCAATACTCCCACCATAGTTTTAAACCCGAACTATATTGCTTTAAGGTAGACTCTGAGATTGAGGCGATGCAAATCTCCAAGGAGTCGGTTGGCACTTTGCCTAGCTTAAGCGCTTCCCGGATAATCGACCTGCCATCAGGGAAATGTGTTCCGATAGCGGATGTGGAATTCTGCCAAGAGATAATAAGTCTGGTTTAGGTTCAAGAATCATAGGTTCAGATATTAACAGAGACGTAAAAACTGGATACCACGGTTGTGCTGGCCAATTGGGCACAACCATGATCCCTTCTGCTTGGTCATTAATTATTTTCTGTAGGGTACTTAAAATTACTGAAAATGGGGGAAAAGCGTAAAAAATAAATTTTCCCCAGTGTATGGTAAAAGCATTTATTGCCATAGCATCAGGATCCCTAAGCCATGAAACATATTTCCTACATTTATTATTTATCCGACTGGCAAAAAGATCAATTTCTGGGTTACCTAGCACTGCGGTCAATTTATTATAAGCCGAGTTATGAAGTGACCATTCCGTGTCGATTTTCAACTCACGTGAACCCTATCAGCTTCCACATTATCTGATGACCTAATATATGAAGCCATCAAATAAATATTCTTACGTTCGCACCATTGCCAAATTTTGCGGGTAAGATCATTTAATTTTGGATATTGCACACTTCCCATGCGATTTATATACGACATAGCCGTAGTGTTGTCTACCCTGCATAAAATTGAACAATTAGATAGATCTTTAGCAAAACACTTTAACCCAATGAAAACCGATAGTAATTCTAAATAATTTATATGATGATTATTTTTCTCTTCTTCAGACCAAAAACCGTGTGAAATAATATTATCGCAGTAAATACCCCAGCCAGTATTAGACGCATCTGAAAAAATTACCTTTTCAAATTTGTCCTTTCTAATAAAATTTGCAGTATTAATTTCTAATTTATTTATCCACCAGTCAATTTCACTAACAATTCTATTAGAAATTTTCATTACAGCATTATAAGACCCATTATGTTGTCTAAGAGCTAAATATTTTTCTCGCTCCATTGATTTCGTGTATAAATACCCATACCTTATGGCTGGACATACAGATATTAATCTCCCTATTATTTTAGAGAAATCCCTAATCTTGCACTGTTTCCAGTTCTTAAAGTGTTTCAATATTTCGATCAGTTTCTGACGCTTTTCTATTGGTATTGAAACAGTCATATATAAGGAGTTATACTGAAAACCTAAATAAACACAAGTCTTTGAAGGGACTAAGACACTCTTCTTATGATTAATAATGAATCCTAACTGTTCTAAAATAGAAACAGTGCTAGAGACATTTAGCAAACAATCATCATAGGTCCTACCAATTAATAAAAAATCATCCAAGTATACCACTAACGTAAATCCTTTTATCCTGAGATAATACACAATAGGCTTCATTAACTTTGTAAATAACATTGGGGCAAAATTTATACCAAAGCAAAGGCAGTTGTATTGATAGAGTTGTCCCCTAAAATAGAACCTTAAATATTTTCTATCCTTATTGCTCACAGGAACTAGGTAATATGCATCCTTTAGATCTAATTTAGACATGAAACAATTCTGGGTAAGCAACTTGAAAACCGTTTTATGGTCTTCTAACCTAAAATGGTTTGTTTCTAAAAAAACATTTAACTTTTTTAAATTTAATATTAGACGAAAAGTACTATCTGCCTTGGGAATTATAAAAATGGTTGATATAAATTGACCCTCATAAGGTTCCACCTGTGAAATGGCTTGCATTTGCAATAAGTTTTCAATAGAGTTCGAAATTATAACCTGTTCTTTTACAGACCATTCTTGTTCTTTTGGAACTATTGTTTGCTTAGGTAATTTAAGAAAGGGTAGCCTAACACCTTTTAACCAAGACAAAATACATGTATCTTTGGTAAACTGTAACCAGCGAGCTGTAAAATACTTTAAACGTCCTGCAATCTTATTTACCTCTAATACTTGCGGTATTTCTTCGTATTCTTGTATTGACCCAGTCGAGGATATTCCCCCTGGCAATTGTACCGAGAGTTGTACTGCTTGCTGGAACCCGGATTGCTGGGATTCTGATTGCTGGGATCTTGGCGATATCGTCCACCTAGTTTGGCTCCCCGTTGATAACTGGATGGACTTCTGTAGTTTAAAGTATTTTTTGAAATAGTTTTCTTTGGCTGTGGCGCTTTAACTATTTTCAATTGCTTGGATGAAAACTGTAGACTCTTTGCAGCTTTTAATCTTTCTTCCAAATCCTCCCCGAAGAGCCATTCATCAACAGGAGAATCAATTAGAGTCTCTTTCCATTCCTTATTCAAGTTTAGTATGGCAAGCTCCTTTCTAGATACACTGAGTGTATGGTGGACATCCGACAAAAGGCGTCCCGCATCGCTTAATTTTTCGAAAAATTCACCACTAAACGGTACGACGGCGACGAGTTGATTTCTGCGCGGCAGTTCGCCCGTAACCTTTCGCATACAAATGAAGACTGAGTACGATGACGGCAGCGGGGAGCGGCGGGAGGGGTTATGATTGCTTTGAAATGTATGACCGATTCGCTAGAGATGGAGATACTACGTACGTATTACTATTTTTCGAGACGGGGCCGAATATAATAGTATTTGTAAGTTTTGTGACACATTCTTATGTTCTATTTCGGAGCTGAAATGTGTTCTGCGGGAGCGCCTTAGATAGTTTTATAAGTTAGGCTTTTGTAACGTTTCTAATTTAAGACTTTGGCCTATAAATGGAATATTATCTGTTGGGCAATAAAAGCTACTAATTAATAAAAATAAATAAATAAATAAAACTTTAAACGTCCTTAATAAAAGCTCTATAGGGTCAATCTATAGCAGGACACGCTATTCTCCAGAATTCTGTTATCCTCTTCTACAATGATAGACGCTGCCTTCTTCATGCCTATTTATATTGACTAAAAAAACAAATAAAGCAACGAAGGCAACTAGATAATTATGAAAATTGTCTTCTGCGCCGCAGTCTATCCATGCACAAGCCACTTCAATTGTTTCCATGCCTGCCTTTGGATTCGAAGTCGTACAAGATTTATACGGAAGATAAAAGTTGTCTGGTGGGAGCGCAGCGGAGTTCTTCGGAAGTTCTTTTGTTATGGAAAGAATGGCTACGGCGGCGACCGAACATTCGCAAATCCCTGACTCGTGGACTAAGAAAGGAACGGACGGGATGCAGAAAAGCCACTACTAATGTTTGGGACGGATTTGACGTGGATCGTCGTTTTTCTCCCGTCCGCTCCGGGTTCCAGTCGGTCGGTGAGAAAGTCCGGAAAGGTCGTCCATGTCAACAATGTGGAATAGCTTTGCAGATATGGTGGAAGGGACAGGAATTGACGACGATGCGCTGCTGCTTAGGGGCCAGGTAAATTCATTCACCATAAAATGCGAAGTCAGGCAATAAAAAGTAGGTTTGAGAAAAGGATTACTAAATATAGCTAGGTTAAAATTGTACTTACAGAGTAGGTCACAATACACAATACACACCAACGCTGTTCAACTGAAGCAGGTCAAATCGGGTATGGTTAACATAAATATAGGCGTACCACAAGGTTCAATATTAGGGCCAGTGCTGTTTTCCCTTTATATAAATCACCTGAAGCAATATTTCCCTGAAGCACATTTCACGTTATATGCAGGCGATGCCTCCATCATTATATCAAGCAAAGACGGGGCTGATTTAATAAATAAATGTAACACCTTAGTGTATAACATCAATAGCTGGTTTGAAGAAAATCAGTTATTTCTTAATAGCGAGAAGACCACAGTTATAAGGTTCCATAATGTTCAGAAGTCGATACCAACGATTCAGCTTGTTCTAAACGATTCAGCATAGCATAGTGATAAAAGTACTAAGTTTTTACTGCTCCACTTAGACCAATGTCTCAACTTTTAAGGACATTGCGACTATATGTCATCAAAACTGAATTCACAAGCATATTTATTCAATAACCCGAGATCTGTTTTCACAGAGGATCAGCTGTATGCTTTGTGCTTCTGGGGTTCATCGGTGAACGGTTCTAAGGTGTTCTTAAGTCAAAAACGGCTGGTGAGGTGTATACTGGGAGTAAGCAGCACTTATAGTTGGAGATAATTGTTCAAGAAATGGAAATAATGACACTGCCTTCGCTTTTTAATAATAGTAATAATAATATACGCCTTTATTACAAAAAAAATATGTACATGGTTCCTACTGAAAGTGGGACTCAACTGGCGAAGTTTAGCAATGCTACTCTTACACTTAACCAGCTGAATCAATAAATACAGTGATGCTAAATAAAAAAATATATATATACATATACAGGGTGACTTTGAAGTTGAGTCATTAATTTTCAGATAATGATTGTAGAAGGAAGATAAACCAAAATATGTGTGTAAAAATAAAAAAAAAATAAAAAAAATGTTACCTTGTTTTATAAAGTATCCTCCCGACAAGAATTTCAGTGCGGACCTGTATTTGATCGTGCGGTCTTGGAGCACCGGCATGCCCTCTCCTGTGAGGTCTTAAGTCACCTGTTTCACGAGCCCTTTGTACTACATTAACAAAGGCACGAGGGGTTGGTTGCACTCGATTGGGAAACCGATCCGCATAAATCCGTGATGCCGCGTAAATAAGAATCATGTCCACAAGTTCAGCATTTTCGTAAACATGTGCCATTTTTGATTTCGTTTGAGCCACGCAACAGACACCACTATTCACTCACGCGTTACCGACTGACACTGACTGTATACAACTGAATAAAATAATTGTAAAAACATCGTTCCAAATTATTTCGCTTTTTTGTTACCGATGCGATGAACCGATAAGGCGGATTATATCCGTTGTTGCCAAACACGAGCACATAATATTATTATTGAGACAGGGCGGTACTCAAACTTCCAAAGGGCTATAACTTTGTTACTTTAATTTTACCAGAAGAATGGTAAAGGAAAAAAACATCTCTTTTGATCAGATCTACTCACTGTTAAAATAAATGACTCAACTTCGAAGTCACCCTGTATATACACACATACACACACACATATATACACATACATATACATCATGCGCTTAAAAATAATATTAGCTTCTCAAGGTAATAAATATAAAGTCTGATGGGATGATGAATGTGGAAAGGATAGTATCAGTCAAGCAGCCTGATCCTTACATGCTTACGAAAACTTGCTAAGCTCATACATTTAAAGGAATATTCCAACGAATTATACAGAACTGCCGAATTATAAGAAAAACTACGGGTGAATAAGACTGTAGGATGAGGCGGAATCCTGATACTCAACCTATCTCTAACCAACCGATCATGAACACCAAAGTTAAATAAACTTTTTTCTCTCAAGTAGGCGAGCCTCGAAGTGGTTATTACTTTGTGAATAAATACTAGATGGCGACATTCGACCAATTTACCAAATTTGAGCCATTTCAGCGTCCTGTATTTCTGTGATACATGGTCAATTTTTCTCAATCCACATATAAAACGGACACAATTTTTCTGTATAATTTGAATTCTATTTTTCGTTATTTTGTCAAGGCATGGGAAATGAAGGATGTTACAGTAGTTCAAACAAGACATCACTAGCGTTTTACACAGTTGTCTCCTGAGCTTATAGTTCAGTAAGTACCTACAAGAGTACAAAGTGCGTAGGCGGAGGTATGATTATAAGACCCTAACTTCTCATCGACCTCGACACCTAAAATCTTGGCAATAGTACCAACCTGAAGAAGATTTCGGTCAGTAAAGATATTATGGTTACCTTTGACGTAGTTTCTTTTATTATCAGAACATAAAACTATGATTTTTGACTTCTCAGGATTAACTAATAAAGTATGATTGGCTGAATATGTCAATATAATGTTCTAGCACTATATTAACTGTTGGTAATTCACTAGCTTTAAAATAATGTACTATTTGGGTATCGTCTGCAAAAGATTGCATTTCAGAATTTTCCATTACTGCATATAGATCGAAGGTGTAGATGAGGAATAAGAGACGACCTAGGATAGATCCCTGAGGCACTCCAGATGGTATGACGCTTGGGACAGAGCTCTGTCTAGATAGAGAAACTTCCTGAACTTGGTCGGTTAAATACGCACAGAATTATCTAAGTGAGGTATTATCAAAGCCAATATATTTCAATTTAGTTAGAAGAAGGAGATGATTGATTCTATCAAATGCCTTAGAATAATCTACCGATATCAAAGCTACTGTGATCTTTTTATCAAGCGCACGTAGCACATTGTCGCATAGATTTAATAAGGCAGCTATTGTACTATAGTGTTTTCTGAAATCAGACTGATTAGTGGATAAGATTTTGCATTCCTCAGTGTAAGCAGTTATTTGAATCTGAACGATCTTTTCTGAAATCTTTGATAACACCGGCATTAAACTTATTGTTCGTAAATCTGAAAGCTGGGTTGGTTTGTTAATCTTAGGGATAGGAATAACTAAGGCATGTTTCCATAGAGTGGAAAAGTAGCCTTTCTCAATATATGAATTGATTAGATGTACAATATGAGCAAGCGTTATAGGCAAACTGACTTTAACCATGGTTAAGCTTTTTATTGCCTGAAGTAACTCAAAAGGTTCGGCAATACTTAGAGAAAAGTTATTGTTTGGGTGAAACCCAAAAAAAGCCAAAACATCATCTTTTTCTTTTAGTAGTTTCTTAAGGTTGCTGTTCAACCAACGAGCAGGTTTTTTGTTAACTCTGAATGTTCTGATTGGAGCGTGTTCATCATATGCATCTATAACTGCTTTAGTTAAGTATTCATTTTTGTCTCCAATGCTTTGTGAGTAGAAAATTGTATCTAATTCCTTTGATTGAAGCTCTAGCAAAAAACTTTCCTCGTTGAACTGTTTCTCTACAATACGGCTATCTATACTTTTTTGAACAAAGATGATTTTACCTTGAATAGGGCACTCGCAGACTAAGCGACATCCATATAACTTTTGCGCGTTATAAGTTAGGCAGCAGATCATCATGTATTTTAGGACCTAAAACTTTATGAAGAATATTATAAAATGTTTCCAAAGCTACGTTTACATCTGTTAAATTGTCAAGAAACGTCCAATTAACCAAGATTATTTGTTCATATAGTGCTACAAAATTAGCCTTAACGACACTACATTGTTCATTTGATAACACTAAATCTAATAGTCTGTTATTTACATTCCGAACATCATTGAATTGAGAAAGATCAAAGAAACCAATAAATGACTGAATTGTTTTCTGCTTTTGAGAAGATTGGAGGTGATTTTCATTAACAAATTCGGGAACATTAAAGTCACCTAGAATATAAATTCTTTTGCCAAAGAGGTAATCAAACGATGCTAGATGTTCAAAGAATCTTTCATAGCAGGAAGTACTCGTGTATATCACAAAGAAATAAGTCACTTCATTTTTAAAAATGTTTAAAAAAGAAAACGAAGAATCTTTACCTGAAACGCCAAATA